CCACACCTTTGGGGGGCAAGACACGATTGTAAGAGGGACTTTACCTAACAAGTGCAATCAGTGAAACCTGGTTTCTTGTACCCTAATGAATTCCCAACAATAAATTAAAACAAAAACCAAAAAACAAACCACTTCATGTTTTGGTTTGAGGATTAAATACAGTACAGGAAATGAGAGCATACCATGACAGGGCCTATGTAAGAATATTTTCCTTTTTGATGAGTAAATAGCACACGTTAAAAACAGTACATATGAGATTTAAAAGTAAAATAAGTAAAAATACATAAATTTTTAAAAAGCCAATATAGACTAAAATATAGTCAGTTGAACCCTCATAATTTCAGTATTTCTAACTAAAACACTGTTTAGGGCACAGTGGCTCATGCCTGTAATCCTAGCACTCCGGGAGGCTGAGGCAGGTAGATCATCTAGTTCAGGAGTTTGAGATCAGCCTGAGCAAGTGTGAGACTTCATCTCTATCAAAAATGGAAAAACCAGTAGGGGGCTTAGCCAGCACCTGAAGTCCCAGCTCCTCAGGAGGCTGAGGCAAGAGGAAGTTGGAACCCAGAAGTTTGAGGTTGCTGAGAGCTATGACACCATGGCAACACACAGGGCAACAGAGTGAGACTCTGTCAAAAAATAATAATAATGGTAAATAATAAAACATATTGTTTGATTCCTTCCCCCCAACAAAACTCATTACCTTGTACTTACATCTCTTATGTCACACATTTGGGTCCATGTGAAGACTTGGTGGGGGGGTGGATAAACAGTGTAATGTTTTCTTTCTTCTGCAACAAATTCTATTAGCTGATTAAAAAATAAACTAGACTTAAAATCAGACTCTCATTGGAAATCCTAAAAATTCAGGAAGAAAGCTTCTAAAGCAAGTTATTTCAAGCACCATCTAAAATTTAGAAGGACTTTATATACAAATTCTTTAAAAACCCTCACATCAATTCCCTGCTTTAATTTCCTGAGAGCGCCACCCCCCAACATAGGTTTTTGTTTGTTTTGCAGTTTTTGGCCGGGGCTGAGTTTGAACCCGCCATCTCTGGCATTATAGGGCCTGTGCCCTACTCCGTTGAGCCACAGGCGCCGCCCCAACATAGTTTTTTTAAAAGGCCAAGCCAGGTTTCATTCACTCTGGCTGATGCTTTTACTACACCCCAGCATTTCCTGGAAAGTCGACTGAGCGGCTTAAAAAAAAAACCACGACATCATCTCACATCTAACAGCTTTAACCAATGTTCGGATTCAAAACATCACGGGTTTGTTTTTATTCTCTTTGCGTGAAAAGGACATTGAAGGAGGGAAAATCCCTCTGAAGGAAACGTCCTGCAAGCCGGGGCTGCTACCCTCACAAGACAAAGGGCCAGGGGCCGCCCCGTTACCCCGAGAAAGATACAAGTTTCCACACTTACTTTTACAAAATAGGGTTTCCCGAACTCTCCGCTGAGGTGCTTCTTCCAACTCTCACCGAAGCCCACGGGCACATTGCGGGCCGCGAGCCTGAGCAGGGCCGCGGCCTTGTTCCTCTGGATGCGAACCAGCTGCTCCGGGCTCAGCGGCAAGGAGGGCGGCGTGCCCGGCTCGTCCTGCCCAGCTCGGGCCTTCTTGGCGTGGCTGGCCTGCAAGGGGTCCCCGCAGAAGCGGGTCACCGGCCGCAGCGGCCCTTTTCCGGGCGCCAGCAACAACTTCCGGCCCAAACCTAACGTCCCAGGACAGAAGATGCCCATTTGGGGAGCAAAACCGGTCGCTGAGAGCCAGGAGGCCCAGCGCAGCCCAGAAATTTGGAGTATGGGACTAAACTGGGGTGTGGAAAGGGGCTGAAGGATTCGCGAGAACCAGACCCTCCTTGGAGGCGCCCCGCCCCCCCCAGAAGCCGCCTCCGGAGTCCCCACGCGACCTTTTCGCGGCAAAAACTCTCCCCTCGGAGCTCCCACCTCCTCCCTACTCTGATTGGACGGCGCGCCAAAAGGGGTAGGCCGGCAACGCAGCCGATAGGCGCGGTGGGCCCCGAGGCTCGTCCCCATTGGCTGACCCTTCAACATGGCGGCCGATGGGAGACGGCGGCGGCTATTTTAAACACGTGGAGGCTGTTTTGAACGCGGGGCGCCGGTTTACCGAGTCGGCGGAACATCTCTGTACCCCTTCGGTACAGCTCGCCTTTTCTCCCTAGAGCCCTCTATCCCCGGAGCCCAAAGCGGTCTCCCCCGCGACTCACTGCCGCATTCCCACTGTCTTCAGGTAAGGCCGCCACGCCGGTCCCCAAGCTGGCCGGCTCGGGGCTGCAGGCACTTCGCTTCCTGGCGGGGCTCGGGGAGAAGAATGAGTAGAGTGTCTTCTGGCCGATCATTCCGGAGCCGAGGAGAGAACAAACGCGCACCGCCTGGGGACTTGGGAGGATTGCACTGACTATCGATTTGCAATTGGCGCCAAGTGACCCGCGCATGCTCCGAGTGAAAAACTTTGCTGGCTGGGGGATGGGACGGGGGCGGGGGGCGGTGGAGCGCCCAGTGCGCAGGTGCAGGGAGGGGCCGCCAGTTCCCCCCTGGGGCAAGATGGGGCTTGCGACGGTACTTAGGGGTCTGCTCTTTTCGTTCATTTTGTCTATTTAACCCACCTTTGCCTTTTGCAAAGCCCCAACACAGGTCAGCTAGGAAAAAAAAAAAAGTACCTACCCTTTAGGATTGTTATGGGAATGAAAGGAGCACTATAATATTTGTTGAACACAACTTTCGCAACCTATTTTACTGAAGACAAACTAAGGCTTAGAGCAATTAAACATTTTAACCTATAAGGTTTGGGGGAGATCCTTATGGAAATCAGGGATATTAACACCCTGAAGATTCACCCTTTTAATGCCCTCTCCATAAGCCACCTCGTCCCCTCATTACACACCTGGGATTCTCTTTCCCTGCCTCCCCATGTCAATAGCTCTTTTTGATTCCATCTCCAAAATAAATCCCGAATTCAATTGCAGCTCTTCCCTCTCCTGGCTACAATCCCAGCCTCTTTCCTGGGGAGGGATGTTTTTACATCATGACAATCTTGTTAAAACCCTTTCCTGGTTTCCAAATAGTCTTACAATAAAACCCCACCTTCCTATCCAGCTCTTAAGGCACCTTCCCCTTCTGACTGAATCTTTCTTCTCTACTACTGAGTTCAACTTCCAATACATTTGCTGGACACACCCAGCTTGCCCCTCTGTGGCCTTCACACACTTGCACATACTGTCCCCCATTAGATCTTAGCTCTGGAGGCTTCACTGAAAGGCATTCTCCTACTGCCCCACTTTCTAGCTCATCGCTCTGTTTATAGCTGCTATGTAATATAAAATTATCTTATTTGTTCCTTCTTTGTTTATTTCTGTCTCAGTCTCCAAAACCTAACATGGGCAAGAGTGGGAACTTTATCCTCCTTTGTTAGTGTCTCCCAGTGCCTAGGATAAGCAGCAGAAGTATAAAAAGGGAGAGAAGCTCATAATTGAAAATGATATGCCTTTACAGACACTTTAAAAAGCAGTTCAGCAGTTTTTAATAAACCTTAACATGCACTTATTATCTGACCCAGAATTCCCATTCCCAGGCATTTACCCAAGTGAAACAAGAAGCTATATTCACACAAAACTTAGTACAAGTGTGATTTGAGAACCATTGTTTGGTGTCACTTTACACTGGGGGCTATCTTGGTGTTACATAGTGATTTTATTCATAATTACTTAAAACTGGAAATAATCCACATGCCCAGCTGACACTTAGTACGTGGTGGAGCCATAGGATGGAATATTCCCCACCAATAAGAAGGCGCAAACAACATATGTATCTTAAAAGCAGTGTACTTAGTGAAAGAAGTCAGACACCAAGGCTATATATTGTACAATCCTACTTACGTGAAATTCTAGAAAAGAAAAACTATGTGTTGCCCAGGCTGGGGGGCGGGGGAGGTTGATTACAGGCTCAGGGAATTGTAGGGGGTGATGGAGCTATTCTGTGTCTTGATTGCAGTGTTGGTCATACAATATTGTACATTGGTCAAAATCTGCATTACTGTGCACTAAGAAGCCTCAAAAGAAAGAAAGAAAAGCCCCCAATCTCATAAGAGTTTTTTGCCATTGAGGGGGAGACAGAAAGTCAATAAAACTTAGGAGCAACAATAGAAAGTAACATTTGGGCTCGGCGCCTATAGCTCAGCTGGCTAAGGCGCCAGCCACGTACACCTAAGGTGGCGGGTTCGAATCCCCAGCCCGGACCCGCCAAACAACAATGACGGCTGCAACCAAAAA